GGTGCAAATTACTGACCTCTGTCATCATTTTAGGTGGGGGAACTTGCACAATCGGTGGCTGACTAAATACTTTTTTGCCCCACTGTATATATCTGTCCATGTCGTTGGTTAAATAGATACCCATGCTTACCCAAGGCAAGAGTCAGGGTGCACCATGAATTGATCACTTCAGAGTAAACATAATAACTGGTAAATCTAACATGGATGTTTTTGAAATGTGCACAGAAAGCCTTAAAAGCACAAGGAGAACATGCAAATAATTCTGCACATACAAACCTCAGCCAATCAGAGGGTTCAAACACAACCTTTTCGGTGAGTGAACACTTGATCGCCTTTACACCCACTGCAAAAAGTGTATGTAGCATACTAGTTTAGCTTTCCTCTCAAATGGATAAAAGAAATAAACTTCATGGTTGAAGTATTGGTTAATTTCCATTTGCAATAAAGGTAAGCGCTGAGACAGATGGCAGTGAAACGGAAAAAAACCACACAGAGGGGAACCCTTCTGACATCATCTCGGTCTATTTTAGGAAAAGCTGACAATGTAACAAGTGAAGGTCATTCTTCCTCAACATATTCTCCCTTATTAAAGGAGAATATATTTGCCTCAGTCTCATGTCTGCCTTGTTTGTGTAACACCTTGGCTGCACGTCATGTGTGCATTAATATTCGATGGACGTACACAGGAGGGCTTGTCATCTGTTTAGAGTCTGTGCACATCTCCTGGCCAGAGGGCATTTCCCTCCTGCACTCAGTACAAGGTTCCACTGGACAGACATGACACATAACTGGACAAAAAAAAAAATGTTCCCCTTAGTCAACACATGCATATCTACTAGAAGGGGAGACAAAAAAAATCCAACCTTTTTTTGGTTTTAACCAATAATATATGTGGTTTGATTGCAAAACTCAGCTTGACAGAAAGTATTTTTACTGTAAATAAAGGCTTAAAAATACACAGCTTAAATTTAATTGTAATTTATTTAGATAGCTTATATTTTCACATTGCATCCTGCATTAAAAATAAGGTATGGGAATATGTGTGGTTTCAGGCAAGCCATTCGCCACACTGAAATCAGCCGGAGCTTGAATTTGACACTGAAACTGAAGGGATCTGCTTCCCTCTGGTGTCTGTAAACCCACACTGCAGGCTGCACAACCTTCCTTATGTAACAATAGTGTCTATATTGTCAGTCATGGCTTCCTGCAGTCACGTGATCCAATACCGTGGCATTATAGGCACAATCACAGTCATGAATGACACAGCAATGCAAAGAGACAAGCATTAACATTTATTAAATAACCCACAATGTCAATAATAGGCACAGTAAAATTGATTTCCAAATCATCTTGCAGCCATTAGTCAAAGGTGGCTACTTCAGTAAGCCTCTAGCAAACCTAGGAATTTGAATATACATCACTGAATCACACATTTATAATACAATATATTCAGAGCAAGTTTCAACTTCTGAAGCATTTCTGTAAAGATTTATTACACTCACATTCACTCCGAAACCCTCATTTAATGAGTCTCTGTAAAAGGCCTGGCAGGCCAAAGACCTCACTGGTTTTCTTTCTCCAAGTACTCCAAGCTGGGCGCGTCCAGCCTCTGTTCATGATTGCGGTTTTTTGTGAACTCCTTCAGCATATCCATGACCTCTCCTTGGTAGACGTCAGGGGTGGGCTGAGCCTCTGTAAGTATAAAAAGACCAGGATGCAAAGAGCATAAAATAAAGAATCACCTCAGTCGATTTTAGAACAATATAGGAGCATAAAATTGAAACGGATGTAGGCCGATGGAACATATTTTGCCTCAGTGATAATAAGAAGATGCACAACATGCATCAACTGAAATAAGATCATTCCCTCTTCATCCCAATAGTACATCTATGTCACTTTGAAAATTCTGTTGATTAATTTCTAAATGTAAAAAAAAGAAAAGAAAAAAAGGGCATTTCAATTAATCACTTAGTAACAGCTTTGTAATTATTTGTCCCAGTCCTGTCAGAATTCCTGCAACAGTTTATTTGTCTAGAGATGCTGCCAGTTTGGTATGCTCAGGCTGTTCTCACAGTGATTTTGTTTTCAGCTGTTTTCACACACAAAAAGGCAAATGACCGGAACAAATTAGAGTAAATTACAAGAGTAAAAAGCCAAGTTATCCAGGAAAAGTAAATGAGTTCCAAGGATAAAGCTTAAAAACAGTAAGTGAAGTGTAGTTCATTTATAAGCACTGTTATAACAACAGCATCATCATCATCTATTATTCCAAATCCAATTTATTATTTCTTATCTGTCAGTTAAAACAAACCAAAATATTTAAACAAATAAGTAATCATAGCCACTGGAGTTTTACACATTTTGTTGTTAGAAGGTGAAAACAAATTGACTTTTGCTGTTTTCTTTGTTGCTGCAAACAAGTCAAAGGCTTTTTAGATATCTGTAACTGAGTAATGTCTGGCCCCAAACTTCCATCTTCTGCTAACTTTAGTGCTTTAATGTGCAAGTTTATTTATCTGTGTAGCACTTTTTATACAGTCTCATTCATTGCTCATCTGAACTCAAACATCCTGCAACATAATAATAAGTAACAATAAAAGAAAAATCAATAATAATAATAATAATAATAACATTTTACTACAGTTGCCACTATTCTATTTTTTTTACCATTTTATTTATCCTCATTTTGCAGCTATTTAGTTAAATTAATATTCTTGATATTTAAATTGAGCTATTTGTATAGATGTTAGACCTTTCTCTTATATTTTATTAACTTTGTAATATACTGCATAATTTAATTAGTTCAGTCTGTTAGTGTTATCGTCTTGGAGGGACTGTAACCCACATAATTTCCTTAGGGATTATTAAAGTATTCTGATTCTGACTGGCAACAGGTCATTAGCATGATTGAGTATAAAAAGAGCATCTTAGAGAGGCAGATGATGAGCAGAGGTTCCTGAATCCGCACTAAACTGTGGAACACTTTCCGAATAATGTTCCTCAACGTAAAATTCCTAAGACTTGGAATATTTCATCATCTCCATCATGGCTTTGTAGCAGAAGAGCCCAGGTCCTTAGAGCATCGTGAAATGTAAAATATAACAAAAAATAGCCAGGACTGTAAAACATCTAAATCCTAAATAAGACAAGAATGGGACAAGATTCCAGTCCTGAAAGTTCCCCAACGTTCTTCAAAGAAGAGAAGAAAAATGTTGCTGCTGAATCAAATTCAAAATAGCTGTATTTATGTTCTTCTTCAGAGTTTAAACATTTGAAATGTTTTCTATGGTCTACTCTGAATAAAACGTGGAGTAATGAGATTTGAAATCTGTTTGAACTTTATATTTCACACAGCGTTCCAGCTTTTTTGGATTTGGGGTCATAGAAGAATAGCTAATTACAACTATCAACAGAAGTGCTATTTGGTTTTAAAAATACATGTGGAGGGAGCTAACTGAAGGTGAGTTTGTAAAGACAGTCATTTTTTTTTCATGTTGTAGCAGCATTCCCAACATTGTCATGGGTTGTAAGAGCAGCTGTAGGGAGGTGTTGGAGGACTTAATGAAGAGAGCTGAGTTTTGGGAAGACATTTGCAAAGCATTAAAAAATTAAAATCACTTCCAAAACAACTAAGAGCTAGAACAGAGACAAAACATGAAAATGAGTCTGCAAAATTAAAAAGAAAAACACTACTTGGCTCTCACCTGTTGCCCAATAGTAGATGTCCCAGTCGTTACTTGGTTCATTAATCAGCCTGTCATACTGCTTTAGCTGGTTCTCAGTCATTGTGTTCAGGTATCGCTTTGCAAAAAGGCTACAAGACAGAAAATTTATCAGGATCTGAAGCTTCCTTCCTGTTTTCTGAGAAAAAAATCCTTCACAATGATAAACAAAAACTTAAAAAACAGCTCTAATGATTGAAAATGCTTAAAATATTATTCTCACATATACAATGAAATTTTTACTATGAGACTGCACCAAAGCCTCATTTTAAACTCAAATGTTCTCAAGAATGTATTAAAAAAATCAGTGATATGAATTATTGTCACTGATCGCATTTACACTGGATTTGATTAAGGAAGGAGCAAAGATCGATGGTAGGCAAACTTAAAACCGTGCTTAAAAAAATACTGGATGTAAACACATCCTTTAAAGCTGAGATGGATGAATGAACAACGCAGGTCACGGACAAAATCAGTACAATTCAGCAACCTTAGCAATATGCAGTTCTCCAACATGCCCCTTTTGCGGCTTTCGTAGAGAAGGCGGCGTCTCTTGATGTCGATGGGCTCGCTTGGATTTTCCTTCCAAGGGGGCAAAGGGATCTCAATCAGGTCAACCTTTGTGTCTTCGGGAGAGTCCCCGCGGTAACCACGAGATGACACCAGCCCTGTGATTGCTGGTCTCCAAGCAGCCTGACACATCCCGGTTACCAGCTGATGGGACAAGCACACATTAAAAGACACATGTGATAGGTAAAATAATCCACTGTGTCTTCTGAACGTGCTGAGTCAGTACATCCGATTATTCTAGTTACTAACAAACATTGTATTTGGGCAAGATTGTGGTAGCAATTATTATCTAAAAGCTAATACAGGCATTGGATCTACATGTTAAACTGCCATTACAGCTTAATAAGTTGCATGAGGAACAATTTAGAGACTGTGTTCTGCTGTTCGCATTTTTCAGCTGACATTGCATCACTGATAATTGTGAGTCATGCTGAGACTAAATATTCTTAAGTATTTTCAATTTATGTTCAGGTATCAACATCCAACTTTATTTACCATTTTCTCATTTTATGATCTAGAATTTGTGTTTTCTGTTTAATTTAAATTGGCTTTCAGTCTTCCAATTTAAGTGTTATTGTTTCAAATGTTTCATTATTCATTTTATTTATATTTTTACATGTAGTGTTAGACATTATAATGCAAACACAATGTCCTTCATTTACTCACAGGTAGACACATCACAATAAACATGTTCCATGCTTCCTCGTGCTTTTTGACAAATACGAGCAAACTGACTAAAACAAAGATCATCCCGCATTTCTTTATCTATTGCTAGTTTAGTGGGAAAGGTGTGCAGTTATTTATGAAAATATGTGGAAATATACATTAACCTGGAGGTCAAAACTTGGCAGGACCGCCTATACTCATTAGCACAGCCTGCAATGTTGAAGAATGACTGATGGTGTTCAGTGAGTGAGTGTGTGTGTGTGTGTGTGTGTGTGTGTGTGTGTGTGTGTGTGTGTGTGT